GATATTTTATTCATTTATTTAACATTAATTCCACATTCCCACTCTACATGACAAATAAACAAAAACATCACAACTTTATGGGAAAACAAAGGGGGGGAAAAGGTAACACCTCAACCATACTTAAATACCTTTAACCAGGAACAGGAACAAAATTGTCTTTCAGAGCATATTTTACCTCCGTCTAACTAATATGTAACCTACAAAATCTGCCTTTAACCATTTTGTTCCCTAAATTTGCAAGTCCAATATATCACAAAAATTAACTAAAGTGATTAAGTGATAAGAATATATACCAGGCTAAGATAGTAAAAAAATAAAACAAATATGTGACCCTGGACCACAAAACCAGTCATAAGGGTCAATTTTTTGAAATTGAGATTTATACATCATCTGAAAGCTGAATTTTTCATATACTAATATTATATTTAATATTTCATTATATTTCATAACCATACATCAATTTCCATTGATGTATGGTTTGTTAGGATAGGACAATATTTGGCTGAGATACAACTATTTGAAAATCTGGAATCTGAAGGTCCAAAAAAAATCAAAATATTGAGAAAATCGCCTTTAAAGTTGTCCGAATGAAGTTCTTAGCAATGCATATCACCAATCAAATTAAGTTTTTATATATTTACTGTAGGAAATTTACAAAATATCTTCATGGAAGATGATCTTTATTTAATGTCCTAATGATTTTTGGCATAAAAGAAAAATCAATAATTTTGACCCATACAATGTATTGTTGGCTATTGCTACAAATATACCCCAGCGACTTAAGACTGGTTTTGTGGTCCAGGGTTACATGAGCAAAAAGACAGATACAACTATATCAACTGGACTGCAGTTATTTTACATGCTATGATCAACACCGTCTCCAGTGGAGTCTAGCTGAAACTGCACGTGACCAATTTATTTGACAAATAAATAAGTTTGTGTACATTAAAAAAAGGGGTCTTGAATGTCTAATGGCACTCCATCAAGGCAAGAAAATGATCACTAGGGTGACCGTGATTATTCTGATATCGGACAGTGTCCCATTCATATTAGAAGAGGGGTCTTATTGTGTATTCCACACGGGTAGCCAGTCAACCTTCAAGGCTGAAACAAACAAGCATTATTACTGACCCTCCCACAACCCAACACTGGAAGTTTTGATAAAGTGGTCTGAATCGCTCAGACAATTCAGCTCACTCTCTATCCAACTACTTTAATCGTGAGCTGGCCCTTATAAGCATGGTTAAACTTTGCAGCACTTGCCAGGTCAAATACCTTCAACTGACTTTATGCAACACCTAATAAGATAAGTCTAGTGCATCTAGTTAAAAGCCTACCTCAGATGAGAGCATTACACCTTAAGTATTGCTTGCTTATCACACAGGCTACAGCACTACATGGACGAAAACAGCCTACAAGCACCAAGCACTAGAGCCCGACCGATATGGGTTTTTTGGGGCTGATACCGTTATTAGGGAGTAAAAAATGCCGATATCGATATATCGGCCGATATTCTGTGTATATTATAGTACAGTACCAGTCAAAAGTTTGGACACTTTCCCATTCGTGTGTCCAAACATTTGACTGGTACTATATATAGAATACAGTATATACATAAACAGAATATATATATACATAAACATTTTTTGCAATGATCACTCAAATGTGGTGATCAAACACTTATAATGACGTGACAAGATACATAATGGAGGCAGGATATTTAACAATAAACTTTATTATCCAAAATGAGTCTGACAATAGTGCACTGAACAGTAAAGTTGAAGTGTATTCAACTTTAATTCAAATCAATTCCATTCAACTTTATTTCGTTGAAGTTTATTTCACTTCGGAACATTCATTCACGGATTTGAACTACCATCTTCACACACAGACAAAACTTACTAGAGAAGTGTGACATAATATACCTCTGTAA